CTGGCATTGCTAAGGATGCAACCCACTTGGGTTAACTGCCAATTAACCTATTTACTGCTAAAACAGTAATATTCCTTCACCCCCCCCCTGGTGGTGGTAATATTCCTTCACCCCCCCTGGTGGTGGTAATATTCCTTCACCCCCCCCTGGTGGTGGTAATATTCCTTCACCCCTCCTTCACCCCATTGGAAGAAGTAATGTCACTTATCAGTCAAAAAATGCTGGTCGGTGACCTGGACCACCCTATGTTCCTCCCTTACCCCAGACCATTCCCCTTGCCTACATGGGTGAGGCTAGCCCAAAGTGTCTGGCCTACAATTTTGAACAGACAGACATTCTGTCTTATAGTACAGATACAAAAAGTGTCGTTAATAGTCTTAAAATATTATTATTCACACTTAAAACTTGTTTCGGCGCACTTGAGGGCCTAACGCAAGTACAGTGGCAGGAGGGAGTGCCGCGCTTCCTGTCAGTTCCAATAATACATCCTTGCGTCAATATATCAGCCCATCCTTCGAAATATGGGGAGGTGAATGTAACGGCACAAGTGTAATTATGTCCTATTCCTATCAGTCAGGAATTGTACTTATTTCACTTAGTATTAAGGTGTACTGTCAAATAATTGTCAGAATCTCACGAAAATATTGTGAATATTTGAGTTTACCTGAAAAGCTGAATAGAAAACCACGACCTAACCTTACCGTCTTAGTTTATGTGGACAAGCATTTTATTGCTTATTAATTACAATTAGTACTTAACATATAGCTATGTTGATATTACAGTTTTATAAAACTCATAAAACAAGACTAAAGTCTTTCAAAAAATTATAAAGTAACTCTGGTTACTTTAAAATTTTGTATAAAATCTCTATTCTTTAATAAAACTGAAGAAGAAATCCTTTATATTTAAAACTTGTGTATTCTCTCCGAATCCTCGTCCTACCCACGATCTCCCATTCCCCTGTCCCCTCGTCCTCCCCACCATCCCCAATCCTTTGTCCTCTTGTCCTCCAAACTCCCTTGTCCTTCCCACCATTACCCCTTTCCCGGTCCCCTCGTCCTCCCCACCATCCCCCCCACTCCCATCCCTTAGTCCTCACCACTATTTCCCCAGTCCCTCATCTGATCCATTCCCAAATGATCTGATGTTCCCATCAATAAATTAGAACATCAAATGACCTAATGTTCCCATCACTAAAATATAAAACAATTAAAAAACGAAATGAAAAAGCAACAACTAAACTCACGAAATGAACAGTCTGGAAACAACACAGCTCAATTCCAATGCAATGTCACAAAATAATTAAATCAAAATGAAAATAAATCGAAATCTATGAAAATTCAATCAATCAATGAAATCGAAAACATTGAAATTAAATTGCAAGATAATCAGTATAGGATGTGTTGCTCTTACTTGCAACAGATGGCGCTGTTTTTCAAAACAGCATGTTTTTACCTGTTATAGGTGTGGCATCTATACTTTAACTCACGAAATGAATGGTACAGTAAACAACACAGCTCAAGTCCAATGCAATGTCAAGCAAAATAATTAAATCAAAATGAAAATAAAATGAATTCTATGAAAATTCAACTTCTCAGTGCAATCGGAAACATTGAAATGGAATAGTAACATATTTAGTATAGCGTGTGTTGCTCTTGACATGTAACAGATGGCGCTGTTTAAAAAAAAAAAAAAAATTTTACCTGTCACAGGTGTGACATCTATATTTATACTAATGAAATGAACGGTATGGTTAACAACACCCAATACAATGTCACAAAATAATTAAATCAAAATTAAAATAAATTGAAATCTATGAAAATTCAATTTATCAATGCAATTTTTAGCATTGAAATGGAATCATAACATATTTAGTATAGCGTGTGTTGCTATTACGTGCAACAGATGGCGCTGTTTAAAAAAAAAATGCTTTTACTGGTCACAGGTGTGGCAACCACATAGTAGGTATATAAAAACACGCACATATTCGAATGGAACGTTGTGTCAAAATTTCAAACAATCGGTGAAGAACTTTCAGAGATTACAGCATGTGTTGCTCTTATGACAAAAAGATGGCGTTGTTTTTAAAAAAAATGCATGTTTTTTCTGTCACAAGTGAGGCATGTATATAGTAGGTATATAAAAACACGCACCTATTCGAATGCAGCGATGAGTCAAAATTTCAAAGCAATCGGTAAAGAGGTTTAGAAGATTTCGCTCACATGAAAAACAACCTTTAAAAAAAAAAAAAACATGATTTTCCCTGTCACAGACGTCACATCCCTAAAGTATGTATATAAAAACCTGTTCGGATGCAAATGGAATGTTGTGTGAAAATTTCAAAGCAATCGGTGAAGAACTTTCAGACATTAGCAATTTTGAACAAAAGAACATTTACATTTTTATTTATATAGACTAGCAGTACCCGGCCATGCGTTGCTGTGGCTCAGCAACACATGTGCATTGCTGAGCCACAGCAACCTTCCCTGTCCCCCAGTCCTCCCCACCATTCCCCCCTCACCCGTCTCCTCGGCCTCCCAACCATTCCCCACTCCACCGTCCCCTCGTCCTCCCCACCATTCCCCACTCCACCATCCCCTCTTCCTTCCCACCATGCCCCACTCCCCTGTCCCTTTGTCCTCCCCACCATTCTCCATTCCCCCATCCCCTCGTCCCCACCATCCCAAACTCCCCCGTCCCCTCGTCCTTCCCCACCATTACCCCCTCCCTTGTCCCCTCGTCCTCCCCACCATCTCTCACTTCCGTCCCCTCGTCATCCCCACCATTCCCCACTCCCTCGTCCGATGCCTTCCCAAATGGTCTGATGTTCCCATCAGAAAATTGGGAACATCAAGTGATCTGATGTTCCCATCACTGAAATATAAGAAAAACAGTTAAAAAATGAAATGAAAATATGAAAAAATAAAAAAATAAACTATACTCACGAAATGAACGGTATGGTAAACAACACAGCTCAATTCCAACGCAATTCACACAAAATAATTAAATCAAAATGAAAATAAATCAAAATCTATGAAAATTCAATTTATCAATGCAATCAGAAACATTGAAATGGAATTGTAACATATTTAGTATAGCATGTGTGTTGCTCTTACATGCAACAGATGGCGCTGTTTTTCAAGAAAAGCATAGTTTTACCTGTCACAGGTGTGGCATCTATACTTATACTTACGAAATGAACGGTATGGTAAACAACACAGCTCAATTCCAACACAATGTCACACAAAATAATTCAATAAAAAATAAAATAAATCGAAATCTATGAAAATAAAATTTATCAATGCAATCGGAAACATTGAAATGGAATTCGTGACATATTTAGTATAGCGTGCATGTTGCTATTATGTGCAACAGATGGCGCTGTTTTTCAAAAACGCATGTTTTTACCTGTCACAGGGGTGGCATCTATATAGTAGGTATATAAAAAGACGCGCCTATTCGAATGCAACGTTGTGTCAAAATTTCAAAGCAATCGGTGAAGAACTTTCGGAGATTACAGCGTGTGTTGCTCTTACGTCCAACAGATGGCGCTGTTTAAAAAAAAAAATGTTTTTTCCTGTCACAGGTGAGGCATGTATATAGTAGATATATAAAAAGACGCGCCTATTCGAATGCAACGTTGTGTCAAAATTTCAAAGCAATCGGTAAAGAGGTTTCGAAGATTTCCCTCACATGAAAAACACAGTTTTTCAGAAAAAGCATGTTTTTTTTTTACCGTCACAGACGTGACATCTATATAGTATGTATATAAAAACCTGCTCGGATGCGAATGGAACGTTGTGTGAAAATTTCAAAGCAATCGGTGAAGAACTTTCGGAGATTAGCGGTTATGCACAAACGAACATTTCCATTTTTATTTACATAGATTATACGAATTCGGAGGATGCGTTGATATATGACGTCTTGCAGTCGCTTGTGTTTACAAGGACTACGATACTTACGAACCTCTTGGACAGCGATCTCTGACAGACGCCTCCCGCCCATGACCCTCCAACACACTCATCACTCAAAACACCCTCCACCTATTATACCCACCACCCACTACACCCACCACCCATGACACACACCACCCACTACACCCATTACCCACCACCCACTACACCCATTACTCAACACCCACTACACCCATTATACCCACTGCATTCACAATCCACTACACCCACCACCCATTACCCACTACATCCACCACCCACTACACCCATTACCCACTACATCCACCACCCACCACCCTCTCAAGAAATACCTACGAACTTCTATACCCACATTACCCCCAATACCCTCTATACGACGTAACCTCATAACTAACACTGGCAGGTGGGTGCAACTTAACAAAAAACGAGAAAGCGGCCAACATAAGGGGGGTATATCTCATGTCGTTGATCACAGTAAGATATCATAATTAAGAAAGGGGTTTATAAGTGTACTTAAGGAAGGTGTAAGTCTTCCGGTTCAGCTCAATCGTCTCAGAAACAAAGGAATGTTCATAATCTGCTTCCTTTTTAGAAAAAAAATAAATCAGAAGACAATTAAATATGAAGAAAGAATATCCCGCCTCTTCCAGTTAAAAATAAATACATGTGCGCAGTTAATTATTCCGGAAAGTTCGGAGCTTTATCTTGCTTGTTGGGGTTTTCCGCCTCTCTTTTTATATTGCTCTCAGTTGCCATGTAAACATGTTTACACAACGTGTGTGAGAGAGAGAGAGAGAGAGAGAGAGAGAGAGAGAGAGAGAGAGAGAGAGAGAGAGAGAGAGAATGGAATGGAATGGAACCATTAGGATAAAGCGCCAAGCCATTACGACTATATAGCACTTGGAAGGGGTCAGGATAAGGACTTGGGAATGGGACGGGGGGGGGGAAGGAATGGTCCCCAACCACTTGGACGGTCGGGGAAGAGGGAGAGAGAGAGAGGGAGGGGGGAGGGAGAGAGAGAGAGGGAGGGGGGCGAGGGAGAGAGAGAGGGGGAGAGGGGTATAAAAC